CAGTGATTTCCGTCCTGTTCATGCGTCGGAAATTAGGCATAAGTTCAGTTGTTCGGTCCATTATGTTTTTATTATAGTATAACTTTATTTCTTTCGTTTACATTGTAGGTATTTATATATAGCCCCAGCAATTAGGATTGCTACGATCCATAGGTTCTGAGCAAAGAAGACGAGACCTTTAGCTCCCCAGCTTAGGATAGTACTTAGTAAATTTAGGATAGGTACTAGGATTGGCAGTGCGGATTTTGCAAGTCCAGCCAATGCTTTTTCTACGGCTCCTAATCCTTTGGAGGCTCCTACGATGGTTTTCTTTCCTGCCACTACGACTGTAGTGATAATTCCAGCGATAGAAATGGCAATGGCGGCTAGAGCGCCTAGGTTTTCCTTTGCCCATTTGCGGAATCTTTCGAATTTTGTCCTGATATTTTCTCTTACTATTTCCCTATACCTGTGTTTTCCCTCCTCCGTTTCGGGTTACTGACCCATCTCTAGGTTGGCGTTATCTATACCCTGTTTGGCAACATCCCTGCCCTCTTGCATAATCTGTCGTCTTTCGGGGTCTGTTTCGAGTTCTATATTGGTTTCGAATACTTTCTTCTGTTCCCTTAAGGCTTTAATTCTGACTTCGGGGGGTCCTTTGGGAGCGGTTACTCCCGCAAATTTCCTCCTCTCCTGTGTGGTTATTTTTCCCCTTTCCCCTAACTCCCTTGCGTGTTCCACAAGGTTGTCGCCTGCGTTGATGACTTCCTGGCGGAATTCTTTCCCAGCGTCTTCGAAAATCTCTTCCGCGTTTACTCCTGATGCCTCTCCACCTGTTTCCTCTTCAACTACACTTTTGGCTTTATCCTTGTGTTCGGCGAGTGCTTTTTCGTATAAATTAAGGAATCTTCTTGATGATGTGGCAGTTTTCTTTTCATTAGACATTCTGAAGTTACCACCCGTGTCAACGTATGCGACATCGGTTCCGTTGAATGTTAGCTTATGTTTGGTGATGTCTAAACTAGAGATAAGTTCCTTAGAGTTTTGTCCGTCGGCCGGATCTATTCGGTACTCAGTTTGGAAGAGCCTCCTAACATATTCTACCTTTATGTCGTCAAATTTTCCATATGTGCTTACTTCATTTAACTGCCTTTTTCTTTTTGCGTACTTATCATCCCTGTTTTTCTCACGGAAACTGGAGGTTTTTAATCGTCTAGTCCATCTAATCCTGAAAGAAAGTCATCCTTGTCAATAGGTGTATCATCAATAACTGTCCCGTCCTCACCCCCTTCGGCTCCGTCCGGTTGGTTAAGGTTATCCAGCTCTATGTTATCCTCCATTTTTATTTAAGTCTAAAGATAATTCTTGTTCATAATACCTTCCCAGAATGTCCTCCCCATCCTCCGGATCCTTAAGGCTGTACATGTTGGGATCTCCTCGGAACACCGCTGTAACGACGTATACTTCGTTGTCAAAATTGGGTTCATATCCCTTTTCAAAGGTCTTGTGCTTTATTTCCACCCTGACATGATCCCCAACCTTAAATTTAGAATCCGGAAATAAAACTGCTTAGTGGATATCCGTAGATTCTTGTCCAAACTTCATCCTTATTTTCCTCATTTACATCCGCCAGTCTCATTCCTATTGTTCTATGTGTGGAATTATTATAATGATTTAATGTTTACAAAAATTTACAAAAAAGAATATACGTTGCATTACCTGCAAGTAGCCAAGCTAGTCGTGGCAGGCAATGAATTTAAATGTAGGTAGTGTAAGTAAGTTTAGAAAAATATTTTTACAAATAAGTGAAGGAAAGTATATAAAGTTAATTGATTATGAAAAACATTGTAATTTTAAATACAGTATTACAGATCTAGCATTACAGAGAAAAGGCTAAGCGACTGAAACATCCTTATCTAGTGTTCTATCTCAAAGGATCTAAAGTAATTTAAACCATCATAGTTACAACTGGCAATCTTGCTACTATAATGGGCACATCAACATAGTGATTCTCAGTTGTAAGAATTGTAAAGAGGGCCTGGCACATTTTGTGTTTAAATATCTTTTTACTTTTTGAGCGAAAGCCCTGGTGAATACTATTCCAAATTTCCGCACCAAGTCGAGAAAACGAACATTTCTGAAGCTCTAGGCGAGAATATTTGATATAAAAATTATCTTTCTTCGCCGCTCTTGTATTATAATTATGAACCTCATATGTTTTTTTGAAGAGTTGTTGGCGAGTCTCCGGTTGATATATCGTATAACACGTTAGCAGATTCTTTGATATACATCATATTAATAGGAAGAGAATTTGAAGAAACGAACAAGGGAATTGCATGATAATCAAATGATTTAAAATACATCAGACGTAAAACGCGTTTTTGTAATATAAGAAGTTTCTTAATGTGAAACTTGGCAGCATTTCCCCATGCAGACAGTCCATACGAAAGATAAGGTAAAATTAAGGACCTATATATATCTAGTACGGTATGATTTGGAATAAAATATCGCAATTTTGAGATAATCCCAACATTTTCACTAATCTTTAATGCATTATAGTCAAGGTGATGCTTCCAACTTAAGTGGCAATGAATAATGATACCAAGATACTTTATATATTCTTTGCATTCGAGTGGTGTGTATTGCTTAGAATTATTATCATACATGCTAATTACTGGATGATAATTTACTGATTTCTGGTGTGGGCGAAAAATAACAAAATTTGACTTTTTTATATTAAGCGTAAGTTTGTTGGCATTAAGCCATTTGCAAACATTATTCAATTCAGAATTTACAACAGATTCAAGTGTTTTCAAGTTTTTATTAGCATATAGTAGGTTGGTATCATCCGCAAAAAGAAAAAAATTAAAAACGTTTGATGACTCAGAAATATCGTTTATGTATATTAAAAAAAGTAGAGGCCAAAGGACTGATCCTTGAGGTACTCCACACAAAGTGGTTTCTCTATCAGATACACAGTTTCCAATCAGAGTTGTTTGAGAGCGGTGTTTTAAGTAGGAAGAGAACCAGTTATTTACCACTCCCCTAATACCGTAATGATTTAATTTACCCAACAGTATATCGTGGTCTACCGTATCAAAGGCTTTCTTCAAATCTATAAATATACCGCAGGAATAAAGTTTATTATCCATGTTAGTTTGGATTTTGTTAACAATGTCGAGAATGGCATGTTGTGTAGAATGTTGTTGACGGAAACCATATTGTGAGGGACACAAGATATTTTTCATATTTAGGTATTTGTCTAAACGTTTATACATGATCTTTTCAAAAATTTTATTAAATACCGATAAAAGGGATATGGGTCGGTAATTATTCGGTTCAGTTTCATCCTCCGCTTTGTAAATTGGAATTATTTTCGCAATTTTGAGTTTATTAGGATAAATTCCAGTTTCAATCGACCGATTAAAAATATCTGCCAAAGGTTTGCTCGGAATGTGTTTTGCCCATTTAATAATCCTCGAAGGGCACGAGTATAAACCCTCAGTATTTTTGGTTGGTAGTGTGATAATTTCAAGTTCAATATCTCTTTCAGTTGTCGGAATGAAAACAAATGAATCTAGTTGAGACGTGTAGTTAAGGCTAGTTGTATGTTGAAGGTAATCAGAATAATGTCTTTCAGAATGTGGCATATTAGCAGCTAATCGTTGTCCACATGTAGCAAAATGTTTATTCAAGATGTTAGATATATTTTTAGGATATATATTTCGAGAAGTAGGATTCTGTCGCATGGCACCAATATTATTTTTATTATTACGGCTACGTCCCAAAATTTCCCTTATTCCTTCCCATTTCTTACTCATATTTGTGTGATTCAAGTTGAAATATTTTTCATAGTACAAATTTTTGCTGGCTCGGAGTAAAGTAACAATATAGTTTCTATATATTTTATACTGAGTTAAATTATTTGTGTGAAATATTTTATTTTAAGCTTTAATAGATGCCCTTATTCCTCTAGTTACCCATGGCTTGGATAATTGTTTTGCTTTACGCCTAGAAATGGTTTTCATAGGAGCATGTTTATTTATTAATTTATTTACTTTATTAAAAAAAGTCGAAAATAACTTGTTAGGATTATTCTCTGGTTCCATTACGACAAAATCCCAATTTATCTCTGAAAGTTCTTGGTTAAATAAAGTATCGGAGAATGATGAATAGTCAGGATATTTACGTTTTTGGATGTTTTGCTGACGGTAATACAATCTAGGATACGAAATTGTGAAAAATGATCGCTTACAACAGATATTAATATGTTCCCACTAACTAACACATTGGAAGGGTTTTAATAAATATGTTGTCAATTAATGTGGCTGATTCCCCATGGACGCGCGAGGGTTTATCGATGCTAGGGATCATTGAACAGCTTTGTCAATATAATAAAAAAATATGTGCATAATTACACCTATCAATTTTTAATAAGTCTGTGTTGAATTCACCCATGATAAACACATATTTTCCTGTTGATGTGTATTGCTCTAGTTTTTGTTCAAAATACACTTGGAATGTCTCAGGTGAATTGTGTTGTCTGTATACGACACAGCATATAATATTTTTCTTGTTAGGAATGATAATTTCAATCCAAAGCGCTTGATAAGCTGTATTAGCAGATTTTTCAATAACAGTATAACCAAATACATTATTAATATACATTCCAACCCCTCCAGCAGCTAAAGGGTTGGAACAAATTTAAATTAGTAGTCAGGGATGCTGTAATTAAAACCATCTAAGTTGGTATCTTTAATGCGGGTTTCTGTGATGCCAATAACACTAAAAGGAAATTTCAATTCGTCTAATATTTGAAATTGTAAACGTTCTAAGTTCTTTCTTAAACTACTTACATTATTATGAAATAGGGAGAAATGATTATTTGATAAACGATGATTACCCTTTTTGATTTTAGTAAAATTCTCCGGAGAATAGTATTTGCAATGAATATGGTTGTTCATCACATTTTGATCGGGGTTAATATTAGAATTTGATCGTATATTTAGATTAAATACGTCAAGATCATAAATACTTGTAAGCTTATTTAACTGTCTTTCAGTTGAAGGTCTGCTAGTCAGAAAGAAATATATCATTATATATACCGTAGACTATGTACATTAACTGACTATGACTTATGTACATTAACTTCGTGTTTACTCGTCATCAATTAAACAAACATATGATATAGTGATCTATAGTCAATGAAAACGTCTGATACTTAGCTTTAATCATTCAACATTGAGTCGTTGCCAGTTGAGTCCCGTTGTATTAAGTTGGTAAGATCTTGTAGTGATTTCATTTTGGTTATTCGTGAATTTGCAGCTTTTCGTAAGCAAATATAACTGTTTTTGACCCAACAGAACTGGTATCCCATCGTCTTTTCATATTTTTTAGCTTCGTAAAGAAGTGGTTGAAGGCGGGGCGTTAGATGGTCATATATATTCACTCGAAAGTCAGGATTGCTGATCGTTCCGATACCAAGCTGTTCGGATGTTACACTAGACGATTCTTTACGTGCAGCCGTGACTTTTCTTTTAGCTAGTCGTGGAACAAACTTGCATATTATTGCATCGGGATACTGTGAAACCCTGCGATAAGGAACGCGGTGTGCAATATCTATGTCTTGAAGAGAGACATCTTCCACGCCCATAGCTGAAAATAGCTTAACACAAAGTTTAGCTGTAGCTTCTGCCGATTCCCTTTCACTGATTTGAGGTACATTAGTTATTTTTATATTATACTGGTAGCTGTATTCTTCGCTCGCTTCAATTGCTTCGGCGATTTCATCACACCTTCTGCTGACCTTATCTAGATTTTTGTCGATGCGATTAAGGTCTTGGCTGGCTTGTTTGCGAAAAGCATCTAGATCGTCGTACTGTTCACTCAAAAATTCTACAGCTTTAGATTGTTCTTCGCCTTCGGAGTGATTTGGATTGGCGTTA